TCCGATGGACTCGACTACGATTACTTAGTCGGTACCATTTTGTTCAGATTTCTTGCAGCAGAACAGTGGCATTCAAAAATCAAATTTAGTTTTTCTGTTTCTATTTCAATTGAACTCATATTTTCGTATCGGATATATTTACTTAACAAAAAACCTTTGTACCAACAGACAACCTGTGTTGTAATTGTGTTGCTAGCCTCGTTGATTTTCACAATTTTCATTTTTTTAAATCCGAACTTGTTGATAGAGATCCAAAAGAATTAATTGTTTGTGTACACTTGAACATGCATACTTTAAGCGATAAGCTAGAGATATCTAAATTGTTACTAGGTGTAAAGTTTTAACAATAAACCTACAAAAAATTGGTTGTTTTATTGTTGCAAAATGATGTTGGCGGTGCTCTTAATTTGCACCGTTTGTGTGTTAAACGCTGGTGGTAAACCTGTAGTTGACGAGGATCCAGTGTGCGGCTATGAGGTAAATATACAATGTTGAAACTACCTTCGAAAATTTTCTACCGCTTTGACAGGCTTGTCCGATTGTAGGAGTGGATACTTTGAATGTGCACCTTATTTCTCATTCGCACGATGACGTTGGATGGCTCAAAACTGTAGACGAATATTATTTCCAAGGTATTAGAATTTTTTTTAATTGAAATTTTATCATGAAAAAAGAAGAGTCATTGAAAAATTTGATAGAATTGTGATAAACAGAACATGACACAATTGTTTTGTTATCTTCTTCTGGTTTTTTCTTTTATAAATTTTTAATCACGAGAAAATCTTAAAAGTTTTAGTGGTAATAGTTAAAACACATTATTTTTACATTTTTCTTTGTGTTCAATTTCAGATGTACAGAACATACTTAGTTCTGTGGTTAATGCCTTGAACCAAAATCCTGACAGAAGGTAAGAATGATATGTGCGATTGAATTTGAATGAATTCTTGTTTATAAACCCATTAAATAGAATTTTATTTCACAAATTTTGCAATCAAGAATGACCCTAAAAAAATTCGCAGGCGGCATGATCTAAGCAAAATATGGCTGCTGACATGCGTCTAGACCTGGGAAAAAATCTGTCAGGTGTGGGATTCGAACCCACGTTCTCTTTCAAAAATCCGGGCTTAATCCGACGTCTTACATACTTACACCTTCTTCTAGTCGTTAATGAAATACAGAAATTCACCACTTTTTTTACACACCAAATTAAAAAGGGGCTTATTCTTGAATTATAAACAGATTTATTGTGTACCTACTACACTATCCGTCTGTAATATAATTCGTCTTTAGATTCGTCCAAGTAGAAACAGCTTTCTTCAAAAAATGGTGGGTACAACAAAGCGACCGCGTCAAACAAACTGTCCAGAACTTGGTAAACAACGGTCAACTGGAATTCATCAACGCTGCATGGAGTATGAACGACGAAGCGGCTGTCCACTACCAGTCGACCATCGACCAATTTACTCTTGGTAAGAACTTGTTCATTATTTTTGTTTTTACTTACTTCACACCAATGTAGGTCTCCGTTTCATACAAGACAACTTAGGAAAATGCGCCCGCCCCAAAGTTGCGTGGCAAATCGATCCCTTCGGTCACAGTCGGGAACAAGCATCCATTTCTGCACAAATGGGCTTCGACAGTATGTTCTTCGGCCGCTTAGACTTCAGAGACCACAACCGTCGACTGCATGACAAAGCAATGGAGTTGCTATGGAGAGGAAGTGCGAACTTGGGTAACGCGTCAGACATCTTCACTTCGGTTTTATACAATCGCTATAGTAACCCAGGAGGTTTTTGTTTCGATATCGCATGCAACGATCAAGTTATCATCGATGATGAAGAAAGCCCTGACTATAACTTAGAAACTCGAGTAAAAAATCTAGCCAATTACTTAAAAACTCAAGCTAAGTACTATCCCACTAATAATATTTTAGTTACTATGGGGGATGATTTCCGCTACCAGGCAGCAATGATCCAATATATGAATCTTGATTTGCTTATCAAGTAAGGTTTGTTTTATGTTGTAATGTTTGTTATGGGTTTGGTTAAATTGTAGGGGTTTTGAGGAGTTCGAACACACTTATCAAGACAAACGGATCAAATTGTTTTATTCCACGCCATCATGTTATACTAAAGCTGTAAACGACTATGTGATTGCTAATAATTCCAATCTAGAATTGAAAACTGACGACTTTTTTCCTTATGCTGACAATCCTAATACCTACTGGACTGGATACTTCACCTCAAGAGCGGCTTCTAAACACTTCGAACGTCAAGGGAACACTTTATTACAAGTATTATGTTTTACGATGTATAAATTGCCAATAAATGATTCCTAATGATTTATAGGTTGCAAAACAACTGGCTGTTGATGCACAAGAATCATACGATAATGCAGCTATAAATTCTTTGAAGGAAATCATGGGTGTTATGCAACATCATGATGCCATTACAGGCACCGAAAAACAGCATGTGGCCAATAACTATCATTTCCTTCTAAGTAAGGCAGTAAAAAATGTCAATGATGAAGCTGGACAAATTTTGTCGTAAGTATTACTACTTTACATAATAACGGCTAAATTCTACTAAGAGAAACAAATATAGAACCCACTAAACAGTCTCTTGTTCGGTAGCCATCTCTGTCACACAAAAAAGTAGCTGCGCTACGTCACACAAACGAGCTCGCTGTACGATAAACTATAGGTATTTAGGAAAAATGCCACTGCTTTCTATTTAGTCGCCAAAGTAGAACATCTGCCATTATTTTAAGAGTTATAGAAAAGCCGTGGCCTTGTTTACAAATGAATTTTCAACTTATTTATCGCAGTTGTTCAGTCAGGTTGTAACCATTACAAATATAACTTTATTTTTCAGAACTTTGATTAGTGGAACCGACGAGAACTTCGAATTTGACTCTTGCCTCACGGCCAATGTAAGCGCTTGCAGTCAAACTCAAGGCGACAAGTTTACTGTGGTAGTTTACAACCCCTTGAGCCACAAAGTGACGGCTCCCATTAGCCTTCCAACATACGACAAGACAAACTGGCACATTTTGGACCCGGATGACAACACAGTTGATTACCAAATTGAAAATTCACTAACTGATTTCAGTTACGTGGATGACGCTCAAACTTCAAAAACTACTATTCAGTTTAGTGCAAAAGACGTACCAGCAATGGGTTTCAAAGTCTACCGGGTAGAAGCGAATGCTTTACAACACAAAATTAAAAAACCGCCTAATCCACGCGTGTTGGTGGGGTACGATGTAAGTATACAAAACCTAAAAATGTGACACTTCAAGTTTGTTTTTTCAAGGACACCAGTTTTGAAATTAGTGAGGAAACAGGTTTATTACAAGCTGTGACTATGAACGGTGTGAGATTAGAAATAACGCAAGATTTTCAATACTATTCGAGTCAGGATAGTTCAGGTGCTTACATTTTTGTCCCAGTACATGATCAAATATCAAGAATTGCAAACGGACCCATCAGTACAACTCTTGTAACCGGTAGTGTTTCACAAGGAGTCTTACAAGACTTTGGTAGTTGGGGAAAGCAATTTATTAAAGTTTACAACGACGACAGAAGTTTCATCGAGTTTGACTGGATAATTGGTCCGCTAGATATAAGTGATGGAGTTGGAAAAGAGGTGATCAGTAAATTCACCACTTCCTTGGCGACTAACGGAGAATTCTATACCGACTCAAACGGTCGCGAACTCTTGAAAAGAACAAGAAACTCACGACCCGACTACGACTATAGCGATCAAGAGCCAATTTCCGGTAATTATTACCCTGTAACCACTAGAATCGTTGTACGGGATGCCAGCCAAGACATAGAATTGGCTATTATAACAGACCGGTCGGAAGGAGGTGCTAGCATCAACGATGGCGAAATTGAACTCATGGTACACCGAGCTTGTCAACACGACGATGGCAGAGGTGTAGGAGAAAATTTGAATGAACAAGAATACGGAACTGGTAACCGAATCAGGGGTAAACATTTCTTGGTCGTTGGCCCTACTTCTGGAAACGGTAATTTTTGATCTTGTTTATCATATTTGCGTAACATTTTTGGTTAAATTTTAAGGAGAGAAATCATTGGCTGCTATTGAAAGAGACGTAGCCCAGCGAAAGAGTGTGCAAGCGTGGTCTTTCGTCACTAGTAAAGATGTATCTGGAAGCCTCAACACGCTACAATTTAGTGGATTGAGAAGTGACGTGCCTGATAACGTCAACATTTTGACTTTGGAACCGTGGGATGATGGAACTGTGCTGTTGAGACTGGAGCACACTTTAGAGAAGGGTGAAGATGAAAACTTGTCCCAAGAAGTGACTGTAGATGTTTCGGTAATTATTTTTATATATTAATGACAATCTTTGATGTTTGTATTCTGCAGGAGCTGTTTACGCTATTCACCATAACAGAATTACAAGAAACAACATTAGGAGCTAATATGCTGCTCGAAGAAAATGTGAGATTGCAGTGGCCTGGAAGTGCTTCTAATGATAAGGTATCTCCAATCAAACGGGATGTTGCTGACCTGACCATAACTTTGGCGCCGATGCAGATTCGAACCTTTTTGGCCAAAATAACCTACACATAATAACTTGTGTGCCATAGCTTGTCATACCAATAAAATATTGACTAACAGAATGATTTTTTTTAGTACAACAATAATCTAATAATAGCTGAATAAAAATTTGTATATAAATCAATCAATTGTCTTTTTGCAAAAAAATAATCAGATTTTCCTCGTTTCCATGGTGCCAGACATTTGTTTCTTTTCATGTACATTTTTGGTCCTCTAGTGATTGTATCACTTGGGTCTGCAAATACTTCTTTTTATTTTTTTTTTCACAAGTTGTACGAAGTTTTTTTTTTATGTGAATGAAATTATTACTAAGCAGATTCTCTCTATTTATTTAAAGTTAGTAAACAACTCAGACAGTCCGATCGTAATCATACTGATAAGGTTAGTTTTTAAGTATGATTGTTTAGGCGCACTTTTCACTGTGTAAATAACTTTATCGGTGAATCAAGAATGCGCTCACTATTCCTTTTCGTTTTTTTGGTTTTGAGGGTGTCCTCTACCCCGTTACATTTTGATGAACCTTCTTGTGGCTACACAGTACGTATAAATTTCCTTAAAACTTCCATTATAATTTTTTTTTAGTCATGTCCTCAAGCCGATGCAGACTCCCTCAATGTCCACCTTATACCACACTCCCATGACGATCTCGGCTGGCTTAAAACCGTCGACAAGTATTACTTTGAAGACGTACAAAATGTCATCGGTTCAGTCATTGGTGCTTTGAAACAAAACACGAACCGTACTTTTATCCAAGTAGAAACTGCTTACTTCAAACGGTGGTGGGATAAACAGTCTGATTCAACGAAACAAGATGTCCTCGAACTGCTGAATAGTGGACAGTTCGAGATTATTAACGGAGGGTGGAGCATGAATGACGAAGCTGCCGTTAACTATCAATCTACCATAGACCAATACACACTCGGTTTGAGGTTCTTGGAAGATACGCTGGGTGCTTGCGCACGACCCAGGGTTGGATGGCAAATAGATACGTTTGGTCACAGTCGTGAACAGGCGTCTATTTCTGCACAATTAGGGTTTGATAGCTTGTTTTTCATGCGATTGGACTATCGTGACAGGCAGAAGAGGCTTAATGACAAAACTGCCGATTTGTTGTGGAAAGGTAGTCAGAGTTTAGATTCCTCATACATCTTCACATCCGTGTTCTATCGAGATACGTACAGTTTTCCCTCTGGTTTTTGTTTCGATATTGTTTGTCAAGATGAGCCGATCATTGACGACGAAGAGAGCCCAGACTATAATTTGGAGAGAAGGGTAAATTTTGATAAAGATAGCAATTTGTTTGTAATTAGAGGTGTTACAGGTCAACGAGTTTGCCGAATATGTACGCGGGCAAGCATCCGGTTTTCCTAGTAATAACATTTTAGTACCCATGGGAGACGATGTTCGGTATCAGGCGGCCTTTACCAATTACATTAACATCGACAGACTCATCCAGTAAGACAACAAACCTTTGTTCTAATTATATGCACAATCATACATTTTTCAGAGGATTTGAACGATTTCCACAAACCGTCGACGGAAAAACAATTAAAGTTTTCTATTCAACACCGTCGTGTTACACCAAAGCTGTAAACGAATTTGCTAACAACAACAACTATTACTTGGATGTCAAAACCGACGATTTTCTTCCTTATGCCACAGACGGTTACGGTTACTGGAGTGGATTTTATACTTCTAGACCCTCGACGAAAAGATTTGAACGTCAAGGCAACAATTTTCTTCAACTTTCTAAACAACTGGCGGCTGTTAGTAACCAGCCCTATGAAAACGATATTACTCCTTTGAAAGAAGCCATGGGAATTATACAGCACCATGATGCTATAACCGGCACTGAGAAACAAGATGTTCTCAAAGATTACCATCGGATGCTTTATGATTCGCTAGAAAAAGCAAATAAAGCAATCGATCCACTCTTGTCGTAAGTAAATCAGACGGTTTTAGTTCTCGCGATTTAATTTATAATTTTTAGCACCTTGATCAGTGGCATCCCCGACGACAGTTTTCAGTTCGAAACGTGTCTGCTGTCTAACATTAGTTCTTGCAGCGCGTCAAGATCCATTCGGTTCACGGTTGCAGTTTACAATCCATTAAGTCGGGTTGTATCGAGTCCCATTGACTTACCCGTAAGTGCCCAGTCGTGGACCATCCTAGACCCCAATGGTAACACTATTTTGGCTAATTTGACACACTTTTTGTAAATACTCATATTAGGAAACCAAATTGATTACCAAGTTGAGCCGACCATAATCGACTTCAGTTACGTAACTAACGTACCTACGTCTCCATACACTTTGAGTTTCATAGCAGAAGACTTGCCTCCTTTAGGATTTAAGATCTATACATTCGAACAAACTGCAGTAAAGCCTTCTACATTATTTTATGGAAATGAAAATACCAGCTTTGAAATTGACGAAGCTTCAGGCTTGCTTAAGTCCATTACTATGAATGGAGTCACCATGGAAATTTCCCAAGATCTGTACTATTACAAAAGTGGAAGCTACTCAGGCGCTTACATTTTTGTTCCATTAGTGAACGAAAAATATAGGGTTACTGCAAATAGTGTCAAGATTACCCCAATTTCAGGGAGCGTTTATCAGGGTGTAATCCAAGAGTTCGCAAGTTGGGCCAAACAAATCATCAAGGTTTATAACAATGACAATAGCCATATTGAAGTGGAATGGATTGTTGGTCCCATAGATGTCAGGTACTCACAAATTTGTAAAGGGGTGTAAATCTATCAAAACAAACTATTTGTAGAGACGAAACAGGCGAAGAAGTGGGTAAAGAAGTGGTTTCGTTATTTACAACGCCACTCCAAACCGACGGTAACTTTTACACAGACTCTAATGGTCGTGAAATGTTAAAACGCACAAGAAACTACAGACCGACATTTGACTACACCAACGAAGAACCGATTGCCGGTAATTACCACCCCGTCACTTCTAGAATAGTACTCAAAGATGAAGAACAAGGTTTAGAACTTGCTATTTTGACCGACCGGTCACAAGGAGGTACCAGTTTGGAAGATGGACAAGTAGAAATAATGGTAATACTATCTAAAATTATTTACCTACTTTATCTAAGATTTTACTTTAGATTCAAAGAGCGTGTCCTCATAACGATTTCAAAAGAAGTCATCGCAACGTTGGTGACAGCATTAATGATCAAGAATATGGCCAAGGGGTAATAATACGTGGCAAACATTACTTAGTTCTAGGTCCCACCACTGGAGATGGTACCATCAAACTAATTTTGAAGATTTGTTCTGTATGAATTTTGTAGGAGAAAGATCTCTAGCTGCAGTCCAACGAGATGTTGCTCAGAGGAAACTTTTGGCTCCTTGGCCATTCGTTACAAATCAGGAAGTATCTTCACGTCTGAAAAATCTACAATTCAGCGCCTTAAAACAGCCACTAAGTGACAACGTGCAGATTCTAACGCTGGAACCATGGAACGATGACGTGGTACTTTTACGTCTAGAACACATTTTTGAAAAAGGTGAAGATGAAACGCTGTCCCAGGAAGTTACTGTTGATCTTTCGGTAAGTTTGGATGTGATTTAAGAACAAATTTAATGGAGAAATTTTAGGACTTATTTACAACTTTCACTATAACTGAACTCGTGGAAACAACTTTGGGCGGCAACATTTTATTAGATGAACACGTTAGAATGGAATGGCCAGGTGCCGATAACGTTGCTACAGTGACAGATGTTGACGATTTCAAGGTCGTTTTGACACCCATGCAAATAAGAACATTTTTGGCTAAAATTGTTGTCAACCGCATATTGTAAATAAACAGTAATAAATAAAGTTTCTACAAGCATCAAAGCACTTCATACTTATCTTTCAATTGGTGAATGATCAAACTCATTTCTAAATTTGTTTCAAGTGTTGTTTAATCTTGTTACCAACTACTGAAACTAAGGTCTTAAAATTCACTTGTCTCAATCAAAACACTTGAACCTGGTCAACACGTATTGTTGATAAACAAACAAAAAATTGTTACTAAGTGTTTATATCTACCTATACACTACGAGTTCTAATTCAGACAAGTAAAAGATGTGGGTTGCAACATTGTGCTTTTTCTTGGTGGCATCGGGCGTTCTGTCAAAGCCTGTGGATGACGAACCCACTTGTGGTTACGACGTAAGCTACTTACCTTTAGTGTTATCCGCTAAATTAACCCTTCGTTTAGGCTTGTCCACTCTCAGACCCCGCCACTTTAAACGTGCACGTAGTCCCTCATTCCCACGACGATGTCGGTTGGCTCAAAACTTTTGACCAGTACTATTTTCAAGATGTCCAAAACGTAATAAGTTCAGTCATTGTGGCCCTCAAACTCAACCCAGAACGACGTTTCGTGCAAGTCGAAACCGCCTTCTTCAAGAAATGGTGGGACCAGCAGAAAGACTCCGTCCGACAAGACGTTATAAATCTCGTCAACAATGGACAGTTCGAAATCATCAATGGCGCCTGGAGCATGAATGACGAAGCTGCTGTGAATTATCAGTACACGATAGACCAGTACACGCTCGGACTGCGCTACTTGGAAGATCGTTTAGGGAAGTGTTCCAGACCGCGAGTTGGTTGGCAAATCGATCCGTTTGGTCACAGTCGTGAGCAAGCATCCATTTCAGCACAGTTAGGTTTTGACAGTCTTTACTTCGCCCGGTTGGATTACAGAGATAAGATTAACAGACTGAGTAAGAAATCAGGGGATCTACTTTGGCGAGGCAGCAGCAGTTTGGGGAATGCTGCAGATATTTTTACTTCCGTGTTGTACAATCATTACAGCGCTCCTCCAGGTTTTTGCTTTGATATTGTTTGCGATGACGATCCTATTATTGACGACCCGGAGAGCCCGGACTACAATTATCAAAACCGGGTGGAAACTTTTGCCAATTTTGTTAGAGAACAAGCTTCTAAATATCCTACTAACAATATTATAGTGGTTATGGGTGACGATTTCAGGTATCAAGCTGCTTTGAATTCGTATATTAATACGGATAGACTCATTGCGTATGTTCTCAGTTTTGTTGCAAAGTTAAAATTAGTAAGGTTGTCGTTTTAGGGGTTTTGATTTGTTCCCGCAGACTTTCCAAGGAAAGACTATCAAAGTGTTCTATTCAACACCGTCATGTTACGCTAAAGCAGTAAATGACTATGCTATAACCAATGACTACAATCTAGAAATCAAAACTGATGACTTTTTCCCGTATGCTGATGGAGTGGGTAACTTGGTTGTAGGATACTTTACGTCTAGACCTGCCTCGAAACGATTTGTGCGTGATGGAAATATTCTACTACAAGTAATAATTTAACCTTACGTGATAACCTTCTTAGAATTGTTATTACTTAGACTGCCAAACAATTAGCAGCTGCGGTAAACGTGCCCTACGACAACGTCGAAATTAATTCTCTGAAGGAAGCTATGGGCGTTCTCCAACATCATGACGCAATCACTGGGACCGAACTCATTGACGTCACGCACGACTACCATCGTCTACTCCATAAAGGCATAAGTGACACTTCAGACGCAGTTGACCCCATTTTGTCGTAAGCTTGTATTTCGACTAAATCTAACCCGATTAATTTTATGTTCCACCAGAAATTTGATTACTGGAAGTGGTGATAACGACCTACAGTTTAAATCGTGTCTTTTGGCTAATGTTAGCTATTGTCCTGAAACAAAATCCGATCAGTTCACCCTTGTCGTTTATAATCCACTAAGCAGAGTTGTCTCTAGCCCCATTAGTGTACCTGTAGATACCGAAACCTGGAGCATCGTAGACCCTGAAGGTAAGTGTTCACTTGTACAGAAACAGAAGCAAATATTTCTGTTCTAGGACAAGAAGTAATTTATCAAGTGGAACCCACCGTTATCGATTTCAGTGAAATAATACCCGAGGCTGTGTCGCCATTCTTCCTAGAATTTGTAGCTACAGATCTTCCACCGTTCGGCTACAAAGTTTACACTTTCGCAAAAACAGAATCCGCAAAAATAAAATCAGTGACTGTGGGAAATGAAGACACTTCTTTTGAAGTCGATGAAACCACCGGGTTATTAACATCTGTAACGATGAATGGAGTGACCTTGGATATATCTCAAGACTTCCTATATTACACGAGTGGAGGTGGCTCTCAAGCGTATGTTTTCACTCCGGCTTCGAACGACCCTCAAACAATCGCTTCCACTGTCACCACTTCAGTTGTGGAAGGCGACATCTACTCCGCAGTAGTGCAAGAATTTAGCGACTGGGCACACCAAACCATCAAAGTTTATAAACACGACAGCAGCCACATAGAATTCGACTACATAATAGGACCTCTAGATATTAAGTACAAAGTTCAATTGTAACGAGGAATGTCTAACCCTGGTCAAATTTTTTTAGTGACGGTGGCAAGGAGGTAATTTCAAGATTTACCACATCTTTAAATACTGAAGGCGCCTTTTACACTGATTCAAATGGTCGTGAAACCTTGAAACGAGTTAGGAACTATCGTCCGGATTACGAATACACCGACGAACAACCTGTTTCTGGAAATTACTACCCAATCACGTCCAAACTTGCTATTAAAGATGAAGACAGCGGTTTGGAGGTGGCTGTTTTAAATGATCGGTCACAAGGAGGGTCGAGTATTGAAGACGGACAACTAGAATTGATGGTTCATAGGGCAATTAGTACCAGTGACGCTTTCGGTCTGGATGAACAAGAATATGACCATGGAATTGTGATACGTGGAAAACACTATCTAGTAGTGGGCCCCAGCAGCGGAAATGGTGGGTTTATAGTCTTGAAGGGTGTCTATTAATTTAGAAAATTGTAGGTGAAAAATCGTTGGCGGCAATTGAACGCGACGTTGTCCAAAGGAAGTTTCTGCAGCCGTGGGTTTTCGTTACAAACCAAGATGTTTCAGACCAACTTGTAAATCTCCAGTTCAGCAATTTGAAAACATCGCTGCCTGACAATGTACAGCTTTTGACTTTGGAACCATGGAAAGACAATACAATTCTGCTTCGTTTGGAGCACGTTCTGGAAAAAGACGACGATCCTAATTTATCTGTGGACGTTACTGTCGACCTTTCTGTAAATACACACTTAGTATGAATTTATTTATCTAAAAAACGATTGCAGGATTTGTTCGTCGCTTTTACTATAAGCGAGCTAGCAGAAACAACATTGGCGGGAAATATCCCCATTGATGAGTACGAACCGCTACACTGGCCAGGAAGCACCAATGACACTCCGAAGGTCCGCCGCGATGTCGGCGCCGATCTACAAGTGACCCTGTCACCCATGCAGATTCGTACATTTTTGGCAACGGTTACTTACAATTAGTAATAGTTGTAAATGTAAAATGTTTTAAATAAAGGTATTTTCTTTGATTTTTTCTATCCCTGGCAACGTATGTCAATCAAAGTAGACTTAAGCGCTTTGGCATTTGACAAATAAAATTAACGTAGGATTAAGGGAGCCCCCATAGCCCAAAATAGATAAAGCAGACGATGCCAGACCCTATTCTACGGTCCGGACGAAATGGGAGATTGGGAAAGTCTACCTATGGAGTTGCTGGCCCATTTATACTCATACCTATCGAGGAGAGACCGCCTCTCCTGTTCCCTGGTTTGCAGCAGCTGGAGGGACGGGTTAGACCACGTGATGTTGTGGAAAACGATGATAGTTCACATAGATACCGACCTGATGGGTAGTAGCCTTTTATGTAGCACGAAAACTCTAACGGAAAGATTGCAGAACCCAGCACGGTGCTTTTGTTGAGGGATTATTGCAAGCATATCAAGAATCTAGAATTTGGGTGGGCCGTTCCCCACAGGAACCATAAATGGACCCCCGCCAAGTATAAAGAGTTGACTAAAAGAGCTGTGAGATTTTTTCTTATTCTGTACGATAACTTCACCCAGATCACTTGCTTGAGGATTTTCAACTGGTTTGATTTCATTTCCTTTCAAAAAGTCACCTATCACCTATCGAGATTTCTCAAGTGGGTACTATCAACTAAAAGGCTCTATTTAAGTGCAATATTTTAGGAATCAAGTGAATCTTAAGAAGATAATTTTCGACAATATTAGCATGCATAGTGCTAATTACATGAAGTTGTTGACTTCGTGTCTGGGTTCCAGATCTTCCATTATCAATCTTGACATTCGTAGTTGCTACTACTGTCAATCTTCCTTTGATTCCATCTATTTTAGGAGCTGTATCGAGCAACTTTCCTATTTGAAAACATTTAAATTGGATTACTTTATTCTATCGTGCCAGCTGATAGATTCGATCCTAACCAGCAGAAACCGATATCTGGAAAATTTGGAAATTATTCTCAAAGAAACATCGTGGAATGACCACATCATTGACGATGAACAATGGTGCCTACTATGTAGTGCATGTCCCAATCTTAAAGTTACATTAATCATAAGTAAGTCTCCACTGATCTGTCCATGTCAAAGATTGTTCTCTTCAAGGAAATGTCTACCACTACGGTGAGCTGAGACTATATCTTAAACAGTCTATACCGATAGTATCGTTATCACTCGTGCTGCCTAGGGTTTTGGACAAAGGGGGCAGATGCAACTTTCGAAAAACCCTAAATTTGTTAGTTACAAACTACCATCGGACGCTTGGTTGTGATTCATAGAATGACATTCTAAAATATAACGACGTAATTTCCAGAAACAATGGATCTACATATCAAGAATGAGGCAGAAATTCTGGACGACATCCTGCTGATGACAATTAGAAGATGTTCAAAATTAAAAAGTTTAGTGTTCAATGGGTATCTCGAGAACCCTAACGTTCTCAGAAACATGTTCAATGACATAACGTATTTCTGTATGGTACCGAATGGACATGCAGAGAAACACCTTATTTTTAATAAGATTGTGGATGAGGAGGTCAACGACATGAAACACAAACGCGTCCAGCTTACAATGCTAAAACGTAACCATTCTATAATTTGTTCTTTGCTGGTCTTAAATTAAAGTGATTACGTCTTACAAATTTTATTGTCCTTTCATGTACTCACCCACATTATGGTGATTTAAACTACACAAAAATATAGAGAACTTTACCTAATTATGAATACTTAACAACACAACTAGACTAAATCTGTACGACCACGACACAAATGATGTGTCAAGGCACCTTTGGAGGCAAATCCCTTGCCACATCTCCCACATTTATATGGTCTTTCTCCAGTATGCATCCTCCTGTGTACAGTTAGGCTACTTTTTTGCGAAAATACCTTCTCACACACATCACACTTGTATGGTTTTTCTCCAGTATGAATTCTCAAGTGAATCTTTAAATTGTGTGTATTATAAAACCTTTTTCCACAGAAATAACAAACACTGCTCTTCTCCCCATCATGCTTCTTTCTATGTTGGTTCAAATTCTTGCACATCTTACCACAAACATCACAAACCTGTGATTTCTTTGGTTCAACGTGGCGTTTTACGTGCGTTTTGAACTTCCTTTTATCATAAAACACCTTAGAACAAAGGTTGCATAAAAATTGTTCGCAGTCAGCAGAATGTGTTCTCAAGTGTAGTTTTAAGTCAGTTTCGGCTTTATACATTTTCTTGCAGATTTGACAGATGAAGTAGACGCCATCGTGTCGAGCAAGTTGATGTCTAATAACAGCTGATTTTGAAGCAAATCCTTTACCACATGTGTTACATTTGGGAAGTACGTCTTTGTTATGCATGTTAGCAAAATGTTTTTGGAGGTAGTAGTCAGAATTTCCCTTATAGCTGCATAAGTTACATGCAAAATTTCGTTTATTCTCATGACGTTGAGAAACATGTAGCGAGCGAGCATATGGTGTAAAAAATGCTTTTTCGCACAGTGTGCAGAAGAATTTTTTTTCTTGGTGGTAACGGATATGTTGATTGTATTTTATCTGAGTGGGGTAGGATTTGAAACACACAGTGCAAGTGTATGATTTCTTTGTAGGATATTTTATTTTTTTAATATTTTTAGCTGGAAGAAAATTTTTGTTGTGAGATGGAGGATTATGAACCAGAGTAATTGCTACGTCATCACTGACATTATTAACTGCATTGATGGGTATAACATTTGTTATTCTTGCCGCGTTGGTAGAATCAAGCGAAGCATGTGACAAAGGTGAAGAATTTAAGCCGTCTGTAGAAACAACATCATCTCCTCTTGTAGATTCCTCAAAATTAAGTGGATCTTGTTTCATATTTAAATCTTCAATCTCAAAATGGAGATCAAATTTTTCTTCCGAACTATACTTCTTCTCATGCAACTCAGAGAAATTAAAAAGAGGATCAGAGGTTTCGTGTTCCTTGGACTTCTCGTTGCAGATATCTTCAGTAACATCAGTATCTTCGTTGAAAGACAGAGGATCGCATCCAGCAGGAGTCATTACGTTGCTAGCGCTTTGACAATTGACTTCTCTGATGTACACAGCATTAGTTGTCTTTGTGAATTTAGTAGAATGAAGTGGCTCTTTTGAAATCTCCACATTATGACCATTTCTGCCATAAATACGTAAACGTTTCTGGGAGTTATCTGTGTCCTTATATCTCTTGGAAACTTTCGAGTTTTCAAAACCTAAACTCAAGTGTTTTATTTTTGTGGAGAAAATATCTAGCTCTTTAGTGGTTTCATCGCCTTCTTTATGATTGTTTCCATTTATATGTGTGTTATTATGTTTTTCATGCCGGACATCATTTAAGTGGTTCACATATCTCATGCAACTATTTGCAGAAAAGTCGCAAAGGTGACAATGAAAAGTCTTTAAGTTTCTATGCTTAAATAATATGTGCCCAAGCAGCTCAACTTTGTGACATATAATTCCGCAGTAATAGCATTGGGTAGATTTACAGAATGTACGATGGGACTGATACTTATTTTCATTTGAGAAACTTTGAGCACAGAGACAAGTCAGTGAGTGGCTCCTGTAAACACCGAATGAACACAGATAATAACATTTATAACACTAATACTAACCTATTGTTTTCCACTGCTGGCACTTTTGGTCTCACTATGACAATATGTCGGGTTGAACTATGCTGTTTTTTGTGAATCCTGACCTGATTCACATCCTGCAAAATTTCTTCACATAAAGTGCAGTGATACTCTGTGGTGGGACCATTGAGGACTACATAAATCTTGAGATTCCTGAAAAGAAAAGCTGTTTTAGTTTGTGATGTAAGTCGTAATCCATAATGCTGTCTAATTTTTTGTGAATTTGTTTATGTTTTAGATACGAGGATGGTGCTCATTTGTTGAAAAAAATGATCTAGATCGAAAATATGAACCTCATAAAGCTATACAAAATTTTCATTTGTCAATAAACATACACACTAATTGTTGTAATTCAATATATTAATTAAGGCAAAAATTATTATGACCATATCCCATACATTCTCTGTTTAGCTTACTGTTAAGTATTTGTTTATAAAGGGCGATAAATGTAAGACGCCCGAGAAACGCTGAGTACTTCAGTTTGAATTTTATATTTTATATATGCGTATTTGTGATCTTAAAAGTTAGTTCGTAATAGGCTTTAAGAACGAACGGATCGCATTTTTAATACACGCACTTTAAGGACAATTGTGTTTTAATTAACCCATTTCCTAGAGGTTATGGGCCCAGTCTACGCGTAAAGTGTGTGTATATCGTGTTACGTGCCGGCGCGACAAACGAAATAAACTGAAAGTGGATAACACACGTGTAAAGCGAAATAAACAACCGTTTAAGGGTGAAAAGTATAGTGTGTGGAAATTTAGAATTCGGGCATTGTTGGCTGAGTTGGAAGTGCTACATGTCATAGACAGTGCCGTACCACCAGAGATTACAAATGAGTGGAAGAAACAAGATTTAACAGCGAAAAATGTCATCGTAGAATATCTCCACGACTCGTTTCTTGGTTTTGCGAAAGAGAATGAACAAGCACGAGAGATACTATCCAAACTAGACAATATCTACGCAAGAAGAAGTTTGGCAACTCAGTTGGCGTTAAGAAAACAACTATTAGGTAAGCCTGAAACTCCAAGGCGATAACACCTTATTCCAACACTTCACCCGCTTCGATGTCATCATTGCAGATTTAGTTGCAGTCGGAGCCGTGTTAGAAGAGATGGACAAAGTGCCTCATCTACTCTTGACGTTACCGTCCTCTTACAACGGAGTAATAACTGCATTAGAAACCCTGGGAGCGAACAATTTAAGCCTCGCCTTAAGAACGAGCAGTTCTTATTCATCGCAGAGACCCAGTGGGAGTCAAGATAACTTCAAAAGCGTACGAAATACGAAGACATTTTTCAAAAGAAGGGCACAAAAATTTTGACAAACATCCTCTTCGAAATCTTACTATAAATTATCACATATGAAATGTGAACACTGTGGCCGACGCAATCATCAAAAGGGTGACTGTTATTATTATAAACAGATGTTGACAAAGCAAGAACAAAATCCAATTGATAAACAACCACCACAATCAAAGCTTGCGAACACCGACCACTTTGCCTTCATGATGACTAGCTGTGATGAAAATCTACAAAACGACACCCCTGACAGCGTCGTTTTCATTCTCGATTTGGGAGCCACGGACCATATGGTCAACAGAGATGAAGTTTTTACCTCCTGGTCTGTTTTGTCACCGCCACTGCAGGTTGCTGTTGCGAAAACCGGCGAATTCATGACGGCGACAAAGCGTGGTCTAATCCACGTTACCACCACGTTGGGTTTTACTGGAACCTTGCAAGATGTGTTATTTACACCCCAGGCTACAACCAACTTACTATCCATTCGTCGAATTCAAGAGAGTGGTATGAAAGTGGTATTCGATCAGGGTGTTCAAGTACAAGATAAGACGGGTAAAACAATATTAAAAGGTAAGATATAATGGTTTATTTGGTGTGAAGTTTAGAATTAGTAAAAACATGACCGAGAGTGGAAGTACATTAATGGTCAGAAATAGCGACAATTTTCGTTTATGGCATGAACGTTTAGGCCATATTAGCAACGGCAAATTTCAACAATTAAAACGTTGTCAAATGGCTGATAATATGTCTGATTTAAATAAAATCATGCCCACTAATGACCTTTGTGAAGCTTGTCTATATGGAAAACAAGCAAGACTTCCATTTAACAAAAATAAAAATAAAAGTCATGTGAAAAGCCCCCTATATATTGTCCATTCGGATATATGCGGCCCAATTACACCATCAACATTAAGTTGTCAAAATTATTTTGTTTCCTTTATTGATGATTACACTCACTATACAGTTACATATTTATTAAAGTATAAGTCAGAATTATGTAAAGTTTTTAAAGACTTTGTAGCTAAAAGTGAGACTCATTTCTCTCTCAAATTAGAAAACCTCCACTGCGACAATGGAGGTAAATATTTATCTAACGAAGTAAAGGAATTTTGTTTAGAAAAAGGAATAGCATTCCATTTAACGGTTCCTCATACACCACAACAAAATGGCGTAACAGAACGTATGAATCGTACAATAACCGAAAAAGTACGATCAATGTTAAGTTCTGCAGATCTTGATAAGTCATTTTGGGGTGAAGCAGTTCAAACTGCTACATATCTTATCAACAGAACCCCGACAAAAGCGCTCAACACAAATAAAACGCCATATGAAATGTGGCACAATCGAAAGCCACAATTAAATCATTTAAAGGTGTTTGGTTCAACAGCAAATAATCATTTAAAAACAAGAAAACATAAATTTGATAATAAATCAATAAAAGTAATTCTTGTAGGCTATGAACCATAAAATAAATATGGGATGTTCATGGTAAAAAATTTATAATTGCTCGCGATGTGGTCGCGGACGAAATAAATTTTAAAGTCTTAAGACCAAGAGAACTAGAAGGAGATCTTGAAAGTTTTAAATCTCCTAATCACAATGAACTTCCTATCAATAAAGGTGAGTCACCAAAAGTCATAAAATCAACTGAGGAACCAAAACAAGAGATTTCATTACGCAGAAGTGAACGGTTAAAAATTCGTCCACCTCTGTCATATGATGAAAATCATCATAATGAACTCCTAAATTACGCTGCATCAGCTCAAGCTGAAGTAGGGTCGTTACCCTTAACATATGACGACATTAAAACAAGGCCAGATAAGAAGCAGTGGGAGCTTGCTATTAAAGACGAATTGGATTCACTTCGAGCAAATAATACCTGGACAATCGTACCTAAACCTCTAAATAAAAACATAGTTAGCTGTAAATGGATTTTTACTATTAAAACAGATGTTCAGGGAAATCCACAAAGGTACAAAGCGCGACTGGTAACACGGGATTTCAGTCAAACTTATCCAGCTGATTATACAGAGACTTTTGCACCAGTCGCAAGGATTTCCACTTTCAGGCTACTGTTAGCAATTGCCAATCAGTTTAATTTGTTAGTCCATCACATGGACGTAAAAACGGCTTTCTTAAACGGAACATTAAATGAAGAAATTTATATGCAAGTTCCGGACGGTGTTAAAACTGCAAACAATCAGGTGTGCAAATTAAATAAAGCGTTATGTGGTCTAAACAGGCGTCAAGACGGTGGTTTGAACATTTTGACTCCATAATTAAAGCAAAAGGTTTTCAAAATTCAACAGTCGATCATTGCCTTTACTACTTAAATAAAGGACACGTTAGTAAAAATATTTATATTGTATTATATGTAGATGATTTAATAATTGCCGCACAGGATAAACACAAAATGTTCTCCTGTAAAAAATATTTCATGACATGTTTTGAAATGAGAGATCTAAATGAGGTTCGATTCTTTTTAGGAATAGAAATTAAAAGAGAAAACACTAGAATTTCTTTAAACCAAAAGTCCTACTTGAACGGTGTGTTACAAAAATTTAATATGAGTGACTGCAAGTCTACTAAAACGCCCTTGCCAAAAAAAAAAATCGATTATGTAGGCTTAAATTCAGATGAAGGTTATAACGCACCTTGTAAAAATCTGATTGGATGTTTAATGTACGCAATGGTTTGCACACGTCCTGATTTGTCATATGTAGTTAACATCTTAAGTCGATATCAAACAAAAAAAAAAATAATCAAACTTTATGGCAATATTTAAAGAGGGTATTACGATATGTCAAAGGAACTCTTGATTTAGAATTAATATATACCATGGCCGACTAGTATAAAGATTATGGCCTGTCCAAGAGGTACGATACGTGCTGCCATCTATTAATAATTACACTTAATAATTTAGCCAAATTTTAATTTGACTTGACATTATGGGACTTCAAAACGTGTAATGGTGGTTTGTTTCGGTATGAATGCCTTTGTGCCTTTCAAAAAGTGTTAATAATTCTTTTGTCGCTTTTGAATTATTAATAGATGGCAGCACGTATGGTACCTTTGGCATTCCTTTGGACAGGCCATGATCTTTATACTAGTCGGCCATGTATATACAAAAGGTGACATTAATAACATTTTAATTGGCTATGTGAATTCAGATTGGGGAAGCAATGACATTGACCGGAAAAGTACAAGTGGCTATCTTTACAAATTATTCACTACTTGTACTATAACCTGGAATACTAGAAAACAACAAACAGTTGCAGTTTCAACAACTGAAGCTGAATACATAGCATTATTTGAAAGTGTAAAAGAAGCTATGTGGCTTAAGTCTTTGTTAACTAGTATCGGTATAAGGGCTCTAAATCCAGTTGTCATTTTTGAAGACAACACCGGGTGCATAAACATTGCA